TACGTATCCGGTAGGGTTTAGGGCTTAGGGCTTGGGGTTTGGGGTTTAGGGTTTAGGGTTTCGGGTTTCGGGTTTAGGGCTTAGGCTTTAGGGTCGAGCCCCACGACAGTCTATTGCAGAGCATGGGCATAAGTTGATGTGAGGGGCTCGGGGGTCTTCGTGCTTATGAGATTTTTTTGGGGGAGGCGACGGCACCCTGAACCCTATAAACCCTAAACGCTATAAGCCCTAAACCCTAAACCCTAAACCCTAAACCCGATGTCCATGGTACGGAGTCTCAAGAGTTAAGGGCTCAATTAGGGTTTAGGGCAGAACCCATAGATCCCAACACCCCGGAACAATGGAATAGCCTAGGGCCATTAAAACCCATTGCGGAACGAAGCGCCTCCTGGCAGTCCAGTAACCACATCATAATAAGGGCACACTTCTTTGGGTTGGTTACTGTATAAGGGAAACTTGAACCAAAAAATAAGGTGAACAGGGAACCACAGGGCTACCAAGGCCTTTAGGGATTAGGGTTTAGGGTTTAGGGTTTAGGGTTTTGGGTTTGGGGTTTCGGTGAATGTGGCACGGCACACGGTTCCAGGAAGACGGCGACGTCTACTATTCCTACAACTTCCTTTCCAGGAAGACTTCTACTAAACCTACAACTTCCCTCGTTAGGGTACATGCAAAATCATCTCATGCCCCACATGAACACCCTTATTCCTTCATGGAACAATCTGCACGCAAGTTGAAGTACATCTCACCCCGAAATATTAAGTTCCCCCCTGCAATCCCTTAAGATCAATTGAGTGCAACGCCCCTCCGCACCCTCGCCCAGCCACAACTTGCCCAGCAAATGTCGCAGGCATCTGCGTTTTGCGACTTGCGATACTTGCAAAGCAGGTGCGAGCGGAAGAAAAGGTCCAGCAAGAAGTGCTCCAACGGGTTTAAGGTTTAGGGTTTAGGGTTTCTAAACCCTAAACCCTAACCCTAAACCCTAAACCCTAAACCCTAAACCCTAAACCCTAAACCCTAAACCCTAAACCAAAAAGGCCATGGCCTCCCATCCTCTACGCATCTGAAAAGCGGGATGGGGGCCGGGAGCTCGGCCTCCCCTCACTTCTCGGGGCTTCTTCTCTGTCCCGGTTCATGCTTTTTCCCGTTTAGGGTTTAGGGTTTAGGGTTTAGGGTTTAGGGTTTAGGGTTTAGGGTTTAATGTCCTCGTTGAATGTGCTGGTCATCTCAATGGCACGCTCATCCATCAGCGTGGCAATCTACTGCTAGCTGACGTAGTAACCTTTACTTTGTGTGGGCATGTGACTTCCTCATTACGTCATCCGAACCCTAGAAGAAGGTAGCCAACAAAGCGGAAGCAGGGTACCAGCAGCCCAAGGCCCTGTAACTGTAAAAACCTACAGGGCAGGGGGTTCAACCAAACGACACACCCAACCCACCTCTCCACACCTCCACGGCTGTAAGGCCGAACTGCTTTACGCTTAGGTTCAGGGTCTGGGGCTGAAGAAGGTAAGCTTAAGCCCTAAACCCGATACCGCATATTTGAGAAGCCTGAAACCCTAAACCCTAAACCCTCAACCCTCAACCCTCAACCCTAAACCCTCAAGCCCCTGGGTGCATCCGCGGTGCTGGATCGCTTTTGAGCTCGTGGGCTAAGGTGCCAGGGACAGAGTAGCCCGTCACGATGACACCGTTCCTGTATTTAAGGATGGGTTTAGGGTTCAGGGTTCAGGGTTTAGGGTTTGGGGTTTAGGGGCTTAGGGTTTAGGGGTTTAGGGGTTAGGGTTTAGGGTTTCAGGGTTTCAGGGCTTAGGGTTTAGCGCTTAGGGTTTAGGGCTTAGGGTTTAGGATTTAGGGTGTAGGGATGTGTCGGGGTTGGAAAATGTCAAAGTAGCGTTGAGGGTGCCTGGGCTTAGAGCCCTAGAGCTCGACATGGGTTTCGAGTTGGGATGTTTTTCTCTGATATCAGCAGTCCTTAATCTCTAAACCCTAAACCCTAAACCCTAAACCCTAAACCCTAAACCCTAAACCCTAAACCCTAAACCCTAAACCGGGATTGTATTCAGGGGGCGCTACAATCGCAGCTAAAGCCTGCCAGTATAAGGGGGAACATCCTAAGATTCGAGCTTCGCTGTCGCGGCGCATGGCTTCAGACATTTACAAAGTCCCGGGGTTTAGGGTTTAGGGTTTAGGGTTTAGGGTTTAGGGTTTAGGGTTTAGGGCTCAGGGTCTGAAGCCTTAGCTCTAAACCATTGGCTCAAAGCTTGTCCACTGCCTCTCCTTGCAAACCCGACTTTCGGACGGGACAAATCCAAAACCCTGAATCACAAAAAACAGCTAAGCACTCAAAAAAGAAAACTCGAAAACCCTGGACCCCTAAACCCTGAAAAACAAAACTAAGGGGAATAAGCCCCAACAAAAACACAACAACCCCCTCCCCCCCCACCTGAACCCTTTTCCTGGGCCACCTACCCAACCTGAACCCTGTTTCCCTGGGCACCTACCCCTAACCCCTGAAACCCCAAACTAAAAAGCCCTATCACAACCCTAAACCCTAAACCCTAAACCCGAAACCCCAAACCCCAAACCCCAAACCCCTTTCCGTGGGCCCCCCGGCTTCTTGTCGGGAGCCCAGCTCTCGAACAGCTCCCGGGAGGCACCGCTCTGGAGCATGCCTCAAGCGGGCTTAAAAGGGTTTGGGGTTTAGGCTTATAGGTCTAATCAAGGGACTAAAGGAGGGACATAAGGGACCTTAGGGATTAGTCAGGTGCCCCCCTCCCCACCCCCCTCCCCCGCCCGCGTCCCCCGGCCCCCCTCCCCCGACCCGCTCCCCTGAAACGACACAACTCTTCCTTACAAAGGTGAAGAAGGCATTATACTCGGGTACTGATACTGTATATGAAAATTAGGGCTTCATTTCTGGGTCTGCACGTCAAGGAGATGTCCAGACACCGACGCAAAAGTTCAGGGATTAGAGACAAGTTAGGGTTTAGGGTTTAGGGTTGAGGGTTGAGGGTTGAGGGTGTAGGGTTTAGGGTTTAGGGTTTAGGGTTTAGGGACTTTGGGGCTTTGGGGCTTTGGGCAGGGAAGTTTCGGGCTTAGGATGGTTAGGGCTTTGGGACTCAATGTGCTTAGGACTTACTTGTGTGCGGAGGCTCAAGGTTCGGGGGATAGGGTTTAGGGTTTAGGGTTTAGGGTTTATAGGGTTTAGGGTTTATAGGGTTTAGGGTTTAGGGTTTAGGGTTTAGGGTTTAGGGTTTAGGGTTTAGGGTTTAGGGTTTAGGGTTTAGGGTTTAGGGTTTAGGGTGTCCCAGGCTGCGCAGATTTTTGTTTGAGGTCTCTGAAGATTTTCACTTGGACTGCATGGATTTCGGCTGAATATAGACATCTCAGTACAGTCAGTACTGTTAAACCCAAGCCAGCTCCTACATCTGAGGGCGGCTCAAAGGGAGAAACCTAAGAAAAGGCCGGCTGGCGTGACATGCCACCCTGCTGCTGAGGGCGGTGCGATTTCGGGCTTTTGGCTGGGGGGCTACGTGAGTGCTAGCTGCACTTCGACCACAAGCAAAGTGCTTGTTTACACCCCACGCAGACTCATGTTTCTGGACGCCACACTAAGCTGGAGAGCCGACCGGCCTTCGCTTTATGGCAGGCGACCGCTCGGACAGCAATCGTGCGACCTCAACAGAACTGGGGTGAACTGTCAACAACAGGGCTGTATATCCATTTTTGTCGACAATGTCCCTGTCGGCGCCGGCCTCCAACAGCAATCGCACGACTTCAGCACGGCGACCATTAGTTGCGAGCATCAATGCTGTGTGCCCTTCTTCGTCGGCCACGTCCTTGTCGGCACCGGCCTGCAGCAGCATGCTGGCGACTGCAGCATGGCCCTCGCGAGCTGCGAGCATCAAGGCCGTGCGTCCATTCTCGTCGACCACGTCCTTGTTCGCACCGGCCTCGACCAGCAATCGCACCACTCCAGCATGGCCGCACGCAGCTGAGATCATCAAGGCCGTGTCACCATGGTTGTTGGACAAGTTCTTGTCAGCACCGGCCTCCAACAGCAAACGCACGACCTCAACGCGGCCACCATCAGCTGCGTGAATCAGTGCCGTGTCACCAAGCTCGCCGGTCAAGTCTTTGTTGGCACCTGCCCCCACTAACAACCGCACCACTTCAACATGGTCCGCCATAGCTGCGAGCATAAGGCCTGTGAAGCACGAGTCGTTGAGCACGTCCATGCTCGCGCCGGCCTCCACCAGCAATCGCACCACTTCAGCATGGCCGCCCACGGCTGCAAGAATCAGGGCCGGGTCACCATGGCTGTCGGTGAAGTTCTTGTCAGCGCCGGCCTCCAGCAGCAAGCGCACGACGTCAACGTGGCCTGAAGCAGATGCACGCGACAGCGGCGTCTCGCCAGCTATCGCCACATTGGCATCCATAGGCAGCTGCAGCAAGCCCTCGACCTGGAGGGAGTGATTACGGTCGTTGAGGTCTAGGGTTTTGGGTTAGGGTTGGGGTCCCTGGGGTTCCCACTCTCAGCATGTTCCCTAAGGACTGTTTTCGCTTGCCTAGTTGCAAAATCACCCGCCTTTTCCACTGAGCCATCTCTGGCGGCATCTGCGAGATCGCCTGCTTGTGTCTGCGAGACGACTGGTAGCACAAGAAGTTCAAGGTCTCGGGGCGAGTCGAGAATTTCGGCATCATCCAGGTTCGAGCCCTGGAGGATTAGCCTCTGCCTGAAGCGCGGTGGAAAGCCATGCAAGCGGTGCAAGCGCTGCTTGACGTCCCTCACGCTGCCCACCTCCTCCACAGGTATGCTTGTGACCTCGTCACCCGAGAGCATGCGGATGCGCAGCATGCTGGTCGGATCGAGAAACTCACAGACCCATCAAGTGCCTGAGCGGAGGACTTCTTCCCAACAATCCTCCCCCTGCGCTATTTGTTTCGATGGCCATCACGTGACATCATGTGACGATTATTCTACAGGGCCCTCATGTTTAAGAGAGGGGATAACCAAAGACTTTTGCTATCTTCTGCCCTAGAAAAGAAGGTGGTGACTTCGGGCACGACATGTGAATCTGGACCGTGTCCTTAGAGCCACAGAAGTATGTGAAAACGCAGTAGTCTAGGGGCCTTAACCATTATAAGTATATTATAAAGGAACCACAAGGGAGTACCATTAGTAATTATTCCGACCCCGAGATTACAGAGAAGATGCTCGCATACCGCCATGGGCTATAGGGTCTCAAGAAGCCCCCTAACCCTAAACCCTAACCCTAAACCTGAGGGGCTTGTAGGTTCTTATTCAACGTAGCTGCGTCGGATTCTTAGGTAAACCGAAACCCTAAACCCCAAACTCCCTAAACTCCCCAAACCCTAAACCCTAAAGAAGTAACTTGGGGTTCTTAAGTTTGCAATACATCCTATAAACCCCCAGACAACCTTTGAAGCAAGGGGCCGTAATAAGGGCCCATGAACTACCCTTAGCTCGGCCTGAAGAGATATTCTGGGATTCCGGGGGGGGGGGGGGGGGGGTGGGAGAAAGGGGAGTCTTAGACGTTTAGGGTAGTCGTGGTCCAAACCCTAAACCGTAAACGAAACCACGAACTCCTGCTGACTCCAAACCCAAAACCCGCGCCCATAAACCCTGAACCCTAAACCCTAAACCCTACACCCTAAACCCTAAACCCTTCCCTGTAAGCCCCCGGGCCGGGTGCTGCCAGCACGACACAGGCTCCCATTTCCGCCTCCGCCGCCGCAAAGGAGTGCCTGCGTAGGCGAATCGACTCGGAGGTTCCTGGTACTTAGCAACCAGTTATAACTGTACTTATAGGGTTTAGGGTTTAGGGTTTAGGGTTGAGGGTTTAGGGTTTAGGGTAACTGCAAGTAGGGGGCGTGCTCAAGTCTCGGGTTTAGGGCTGTCATAGGATTGTACGAAACAAAAGGGGGCGTGCTCAAGTATCGCGTTTAGGGTTTAGGAGTTTAGGGTTTAGGGGTTTAGGTTTGAGGTTGAGGGTTGAGGGTTGAGGGTTGAGGGTTTAGGGTTCAGGGTTTAGGGTTCAGGGTGGAACAGGGCTTAGGACTTAGGTTTGTAGCAATTTCCGGGACAGTGCGGGCCTGTATGAGTCGACCTCTGGGCCATTAGGGTCCAATTTGAGTAGAATGGGTTTTGGGGTTTAGGGTTAGGCTCTACGTGGGTTTTGGGTTTAGGGTTCAGGGTTAATTAAAATGACATGCTGTACATGGAGCCAGGGAATAAGAATGTCATATTGCCACAAACGTAAGACTAAATAACCTTAATTAGGCTTAATTACCCGTAAATAGCCTTAAGTATCGGGGGGACCTTGGGGGGGGGTAGTCTTGAGGGGGGTAGTAGGGGAACCTATGATGAGATGGAGCATCGTTTGCCCAGGCCGGCGCTGTGCGCTGGTCCCTCCTTTGGAGGCACGCTGTACATGCGTTTAGGGTTTAGGGTTTAGGGTTTAGCGTTTAGGGTTTAGGGTTTAGGGTTTAGCATAATCCAAAACAAAGATTTAAAGATGCAGGGCACACCCTGCAATGAATTTAACCGCTCACGACTTCACTCTGACTCGGACAGGTCATCCGCGGAACTGACATCCCTGATGGAGGTCTCTTCCGACTGGCAATCCGATCGAACAGGCTCTGGCTTGTATGAAAACAGCACCTGCTCAGCGCAAGATTTTGGGGTTTAGGGTTTAGGGTTTAGGGCTTAGGGCTTAGGGTTTAGGGTTGGGAGTCCTACGATCAACTGACACCTGCGCAGACAACATCAGACAACCAAGAACATGTTGCCTCTATGGCAGCTGGTTCCAATAAACACTATTTGCTTAAGACTCCCCCACCCACGAGAAAAAAACACACTTCTTCCTTGTAAGGGCAAAATCGGGATGATTGTCGCCCTAAACCATCCCAGCGGCTGCTCCAAGGACGGTGATGCCCTCAGCTTGCGGTTTGGGGTTAAGGGTTTAGGGTTTATGGGTTTAGGGTTTAGAGTTTAGGGCTTATAAGGATAAGGATGCCATATATTGAGCCCGGAGGATACTCAGCCGCAACTTCAGCAGCAATAGAAGCCGCGACAGACAACGACAACCACGACATTCGCGACAACCGCGACGCCAGCGTCTTCGCCAGCAACAACGACAGAGACAACGACGGCCACTGGGGAAATAACAATGCCAACGCCCCGGATCAGCCGTGTGTGTCTCGCAGTTGTCTCTGTTATGCAGGTGGTTTGTTTTCTACCTTTTTCGATTGTTTTGAGTTCGGGATTGTGGACGCAATGCGTTTCGGGTGGCCTGCGTGGGAGGTCGTGGGGCCAGTAGGAACATACTGAAAACGAGCTCGTGAATTTGGCACGTCTGGTGCACGTTTGATTTCGCATGCAGCTGCTCGTTTTGCTGATTTACTTTGTTTGGCCTACAGCAACACTTGACAGAGATTTTCTTACGTTTTGGAAATTTCGCCGAATCGAAAGCAGGGAAGAAGCTCCTGATATACATTGTTTATTGTCATGATGGAAATTGCGTTGTATGGTTCCTAAACCAAACCGACCCTAAACCGCAAAACCCATCTCTAGCCCTGCGCCCTTCACACTTGCTTTGTGCTTTGCGTTGGGACAGAGCTTGCCCTGATGTGGGCTACAAGCGCAGGATTTCGTGTATGGATTTAGGGGTTAGGGGTTACAGTAGGGTTTAGAGGGGGCAGGCGCATAGGCGTTTGGGGTTTGAGGTTTTCTTGAAGTATGGGAGGCTTTGGGGGGTTAAGTGCGGGAAAGGGAAATCGGGTGTATAGGGGATATCCTAAACCCCAGACCCTACATATCCCTACATCCTAAACCCCAAACCCTAGAACTTGGAGCCTGCGCCGTATCGGATAAGGGCTTCGGACAGCGGGCTCATTTTAGAGATTCAAGGTCCTGAGCCCCCTACCCCTAAACCCTAAACCCCAAACCCTAAACCCTAAACCCAAAACCCACTAATTAAGCCCTGAACTCTCTCGGAGCCATGGACCCCCCTCCCTTAAGGACCCGATAATGCTGAGTCCCGGACCACGCTGACGAACCGCAAAACGGACACGGGGCGCGGGGCAGAGAAGAGGCCGAAGGTGTCCGCCAAGGAGGCGGTGGTCAACTTCCCTCTCAGGGACTCAGAAGAGGCTACTGTATGCCATACAGCATGTAACTGATCATCCTCTGTATATATATACATATATGCACATATATATATATATATATATTTGATTTATTTTTATGTTGTAGTAGATTCTTATGTGTTTTGCATGACGTGTTATAGTTCATCATATAGGTCGTCCAAAGACTAGTGCTTCGTGTAGTAAGGATGAGCCATCGCAGGTCAACAGCAACCCCGTATGTGGGTGGCACCTCTGCTTCTGGCAATCACCTAAAGCCACTTGGATCTCTATTGCAACCCTCCGATGGGCTTCTAATTCTAGTTTGCAGTCTGGTTTAGGGTTTAGGGTTTAGGGTTTAGGGTTTAGGTTTTAGGGTTTAGGGTTTGGGGTTTGGGGTTTAGGGTTTACGGTTCACGGTTTAGGGCTCAGGGCTTAGGGTTGAGGAGTTTTGGGTGACCTTCAGCTTAGGAAGTCGTGCATCATTTTGTAGAGTTTTGCTTTCCGGATTTCCTGGGACACAGGGCACCTGCAAGCACCAGGACGAACATCACAGAGTAGCCTACCAACTTCGGGAGCTTTGCCAGCGAGTATGTGTAGAAGGCGGACTGGAGACCGCCTTCTAGGAGCCCAGCAGCCATGTTACAATCAGGGTAGTTTCCCTTTTAGGGTTTAGGGTTTAGGGTTTAGGGCTTGGGGTTTAGGGGGAACCTTGTGTAAAACAAAACAAGGACAAAACGGCACCACTAGGCTGCCAAGCCACAGAGGAGCCAGATCCACCAGGTCGACTTTTGGAAGTCCAGGGCGATACCATATGTCTGGAGCGCAATCCTAGGCACCCCAGGCACCTTAACAACAAATCGTTTCTTTTATTGCTATTATTGTCATTATTATTATGACTATCATGGTGATGATGATGATGATGAATATTATTATTATTTACTATTATCATCATCATTATTATTGTTTACATTTTTAAAGTGTCTGGGGTGCAATCCTAGGCACCCAAGTCACCTTGATGGTAAAGCACCATTTTGGGGGGTTGTAATTAGGCCTACAAGGGAAGTGAAACCCACAAAGTGAAAAAAAGAAGCCCCTATGCTCTAAACGTTAAACCCCACACCCTAAACACGTCCAAGAATCCAAAGAGGAACCGCCCAAAGCATCGAGGTCCTTACTTCTCCAATAACCAAGGGGAAAAAAAAGGTTAAACTTTAATGTTCCTACCAAATAAGGAAACCCAAAAAAGTTTAAAGTTCAACTAAAGGCGAAGTAAGGGTCAGGTTGCAAAATAACGCACTCCTGGCCGGTGTGCCCAGATCCCTCCCGAGGCTCTTGTTCATCTTTGCCTGAAGGCCTGGGGTGGACCAGGAATCTAGACTCTAGATTCCCTAAACCCTAAACCCTGAACCCTGAACCCTCTAGGTTCTAGAGGGTTGAGGGTTTAGGGGGTTAGGGGAGTTTAGGGGCTTAGGGGTTTGGGGCGTAGGGGTTGAGGATTTAGGGCTTGAGGGGTTTAGAGGTTCGTGGTTTAGGGTGTGCCAAGCGGTCTGCAGACCCACCCACCCAAGATCGCCCACTTACAGCTCTCATGGGGTTTAGGGTGTAGGGTTTAGGGTTTAGGGTTTAGGGTTTAGGGTTTAGGGTTTAGGGTTTAGGGTTTAGGGCAACATGTACTCTTCACGCAAGGTGGCAGTGTGTCAGGGGCATGTCCCTGGCATTTGCTTGAACTCTTGGGTTCTTGGGGCAGGCCTCCCAATTCATGGCGCAGGAAGGGCCTCCGACCTCCTCGCCCGGTCCTCCCAAGGGCTTTGGGCGTCAGGGGCATGTGGGCATTGCCACTGCAGACACCTCGAGAGCTGCCTGCTCTTGGGTTGCACCTAAACCCTAAACCCTAAACTCTAAACCCTAAACCCTAAACCCTAAAACCCTAAACCCTAAACCCTAAACCCTAAACCCTAAACCCTAAACCATATGAAGCTTTGAGGGGGCCCAGGGTCCTCCGAGAAGCCTCCTTCCTGGGCCCTGCTCCCCACAGACTTAGCAGATGGGCGCACAAGCCAGTATGACAGGGGTCAGGGTCATACAATACAATACGGGTTTAAGGTTTAGGGGTTCGGGGTTTAGGGTTTCGGGTCTAGGCTATAGTTAGGCCTAGGAATTGTGCAACCTCTAAACGAGGGCGCGGTCCGCTCTGCTTGAGGGGCTCTCGCAAGAGATCAGCCCACCATATGAAAAGGGAATCTAGGGTTTAGGGTTTAGGGTTTAGGGTTTAGGGTTTAGGGTTTAGGGTTTAGGGTTTAGGGTCCACCAGGATGGGCTACTATGCCTTATAAATCCCTGTCATCAACCTCAGGAAGGGTTTTGTAGCTATGGGACATAACAACCCGTCCTGGTGGGATAACCCTAAAACCTAAACCCTAAACGCTAGACCCTAAACCCTAAACCCTAAACCCAAACCCAAATTAAACCCTAAACCCTAAACCCTAAACCCTAAACCCTCAACCCTCAACCCTCAACCCTAAACCCTAAACCCTAAACCCTAAACCCTCAACCCTCAACCCTCAACCCTCAACCCTAAACCCTAAACCCTAAACCCTAAACCCTAAACCCTAATCCGAGATGCAGTAGCAAGTGCCAGTGATCCACGCGCAGGCTGCGTAGAAGGCGATCCCGAGGGCAGTCCCGCGCACTTGTGAGAGAGAGTCGGTCATCCTTGCGGGTTTAGGGTTTAGGGTTTAGGGTTTCGGGTTTAGGGTTTAGGGTTTAGGGTTTAGGGTCTAGGGTTATAGGGTTTAGGGTTTAGGGTTTAGGGTTTAGGGTTTAGGGTTTAGGGTTTAGGGTTTAGGGCTTTGGGTTCAGGATTTAGAGGACTTAATGAACCTCGAAAGGGCTTTTGATCCATATGCCTTCATAGGAAGAATAGTAGAAAAGGGTCCCAATATACCTTAGTAGGAAAATCGTAGTAAAAGGTCCCATATACCTTAGAAATAATAGTTGTATGGGAATATGACGCCAAGTATAGGGTTCATTTGCTCCCCAAGGATCTCTATGGCCACGGCGGCCACGAGGAACACCAATCCAAGGGAGTTATACCTTGGTAGCCCAGTAACCATATTAATTATGAGGGGTTTAGGGTTTAGGGTTTCGGGTACCCTTTTTTGGGTTGGTTGCTTTGTAAGGGAACCTTGAACCAACAAAAGGACAGAAGGGTACCACCGGGCTATCAAGATACCGGTTCATCTGCAGTCGGTGTCCGCGGAAGTCGAAGATGATGGCAGCCGTCAACATTCCGGCATTCACTAACCTAGGTCAACCCTCGAAGAAGCATATTCCTAAATCTGATCCTCTTAAAACCCAGTACGGGAAAATAAGAAACAATCCTACACATGATCCTCTTGCAGCCAAACCAGGGAAAATGCAGAAAAGCCCTAGGTCCCAACTAAATGGCTTGAAGCTCTAATCCCAAAACCCGAGAAGAAAAAGCACAAACTACTTTCAAGGCCCTATACCTCGTAACCTAACTAGCTTAAAATTCTTAACCCAAAACCCAAGAAAAAACAAACAAGTTTTCAAGGTCCTATACCTCGTAACATCAACATCATCTGCGTGCCCAACAGGGCAGCTGAAGGCGTGCATGCCTCCGTACCCAGGGTGACTTTGGAATAGGGTTTACGGTTTAGGGTTTAGGGTTTAGGATTTAGGGTCACCCAACATCCCTAAATTCCTTACACCGCAAAGCCAAGTAGAGCAACCCTTGTACTACAATTAAGGGGTTTAGAAGAGAAACCTACCCCCAACAAAAATGAAATGATGGCCCACCCTGGGTCCTGGCCGGCCCTAAACCCTAAACCCTAAACCCTAAACCCTAAACCCTAAACCCTAAACCCTAAACCCTAAACCCTAAACCCTAAACCCTAAACCCTAAACCCTAAACCCTAAACCCTAAACCCTAAACCCTAAACCCTAAACCGCAGCGCCCAGGCACAAAGACGGGCAAAATCACGAAGCCACCCAAAGTGGACCATCTCTTTGTTGGAGCGCACGGGGGTGGCCCTCCTGATCCCCACCCCTCCCACCTAGATCCCCTAAACCCTAAACCCTAAACCCTAAACCCTAAACCCTAAACCCTAAGCCCTAAGCCCTAAGCCCTAAGCCCTAAGCCCTAAGCCCTAAGCCCTAAGCCCTAAGCCCTAAGCCCTAAGCCCTAATCCCTAAGCCCTAAGCCCTAAGCCCTAAGCCCTAAGCCCTAAGCCCTAAGCCCTAAGCCCTAAGCCCTAAGCCCTAAGCCTCAACCCAATCCTTCACATACTAAGGCCGGATATTGACTATACCTTATTTGGGGACGGACTAAGTCTACCTTCAAGATGAAACCCTACACCCAAAACCCTTAGAAACAAAGGTGTTATGGTGGCTCACGTACCTTAATCGGGATTGTCGTAGCCAAGGTTGGACCTTTAGGACTATATAGGAACTTCCCTATGAAGGGTCAAGTATATGTGGGCAAGCGGCAGTCTGAGAGTTTGCACTTTGCACGTTAGGGTTTAGGGTTTAGGGTGTTTAGGGTCTATATGGGCACTTCTCGAAGATCCCTCTTAGGGTCCTCATCTTAAGGCGGCCGCGATTCTTCAGGGCATAGGGTCTTCTAAAGAACTACAGGCTAGTTCATACATCGTTCCGGTATCTCTTGTAGCAGTCTCTAGCAATGCTATGGGGTCCTTGCAGCTTCACCAGCAACAGCAGCCAAACGGCACCAATTGCCAGGTTGATGGAAAAAACATACGAGGCGTGGGCCAGCGCGGGAGAGGACGTGTCATTGAGGATGACGCCCTGGGCTGATGGGCTGAGCGCATTGAGCTTCAGGCTTGGGGTTGGGTTTGCGCCTGGGGTTTAGGGTTTAGGGGTTTGGGGTTTAGGGTTTAGGATTTATTGGGGTTTAGGGTTACGGGCTCACCTGTCGTGCGCTATGTACTCGGTAGCCAGTAGCCCAGAAACCATATTATAAGAAGGGGTACCTAGGGGAGCCTAGAACCAAGAACAACCGGGCAAAAGGGCACCGCTACGCTACCAAGTACGGTGCACGCTGGCGGCACGGTTTCGGTATAGGGTTTTAGCTGCCCTAAACCCTAAACCCTCAATCCTAAACCCCAAACCCCAAATCGCAAACCCTACACCCTAAACCCTACACCCTACACCCTAAACCCTAAACCCTAAACCCTAAACCCTAAACCCTAAACCCTACACCCTACACCCTAAACCCTAAACCCTAAACCCTGAACCCAAAGCGGCTCTGAGCTCCTGGCACCTCCAACCTGCAGTGCTACCGACACCCCAGCTGCCACGGCCCAAAGGTATGCCAGGATGGTGGGCATGTGGGTTTAGGGTTTAGGGTTTAAGGTTTAAGGTTTAGCATTTGGGTGTTGGGGTGTTAGGGCTTTAGGTTTCAGGGTTGTGATGGTATGCCTAAGTAGGTGCCGCACGTGTCTGTGCGACCTCCCGTCGACTTAGGGTGAAAAGCGGACCACATGAATTTTAAATTTGGGGTCATCTACCCGGTGCTACTCTTCTTCCTCTTCAGGCAATACGAACCATAAACCCTTTGAGGACTCGTTTGGTTAATAAGAACCATAAACCCCTTCAGGGCTCATTTTGGTGACAGAAGGCAAGCATGCTTCCGTGGCTTGCGCTTGTGTCCTCTTCCTGAGTTCTCCGTTGAGCCGCTGCAGCAGCGAGACGTGCTGGCCGACTCAACCAGGCTGATCGTGGGCTTCCCGGTTTAGGGTTTAGGGTTTAGGGTTTAGGGTTTAGGGTTTAGGGTTTAGGGTTTAGGGTTTAGGGTTTGGGGTTTAGGGTTTAGGGTTTAGGGTTTAGGGTTTAGGGTTTAGGGTTTAGGGCCCTCTCAACTTCCCCCCACCAAGTTCCCCCCCCCCCCCCCACCCCGGTGGGGTTGAGGCGGTGTAAAGGCTTTTGGAGGCTCCCGGTCGCACCGAGGCTTGCAAACCCTAAACCCTAAACCCTAAACCCTAAACCCTAAACCCTAAACCCTAAACCCAAAGCCCTAAACCCTAAACCCTAAACCCTAAACATGCAAGGGCTTACAGGGTGGGTTTTGGGGGGGCTTAAAGGAAAGTGGTGAGGTGGGGGGAGGGCCTCCTGGGTCTTTTACAGGCCTCCGGGGTTTAAGGGTTGAGGGCTTTTAGGGTTGAGGGTTCAGGGTTTAGGGTTTGGGGTTTAGGATTCAGGGTTTAGGGTTTGGGGTTTAGGGTTCAGGGTTGAGGGTTTGGGGTTTAGGGTTGGGGGTTTGGGTTTAGGGTTTAGGGTTTGGGGTCCGTCCCTGGTGGTGTGTTGGAGTGTTGGATGGTGTTGGGGAGCCCTTTCTCGAGGGGGGGGGGGGGTGGGGGGGAGGAGGATTTAGGGTTTAGGGATGAGGCTTACCCTAAACCCTAAACCCGAAACCCTAAACCCTAAACCCTGCTGAGGCTTTGGGGGTTACATGGGTGTACCCTCCGCCCACCTGTCGGGCATGTTCTGGATGTACTTGAGCACCCAGGGGTTGTTGCAACGGTTGGCCTTGCAGGATATTCGGGCTTTAGTGCTTTGCAGTTTTTTTTTTTTTTTTGGGGGGGGGGGGGGGGGGTGGGGGGGGCGGGGGGTTCAGGGTTGTATAGGGCTTATGGTGTCGGGTTTTGGGGTCCTAGGGTTCGCGATTGAGGTGAGGCTCCGTGGCTGGTGGCTGAGAGGGTGGTTCGCGGAGAGGAGAATAAACAAACCCTGCACCCTCCCTCCTATCTAGGCATACTACTCCCAAAGCCTAAACCCTAAAAGCATTCTAGCCAAACAGTACCAAGAACACCACCTTCTGCAAAGTATTCCCCACATCAAGTTTAGGGGGGGACACGCTGAATTCGCTGAGCGAAACCCAATCCTACTGAGCCGACGCCAAAGGGGTCGAATGGTCATAGGGTCGAATTCTTCGGGCTCATACTTGGAGGTTCATGGTACTTATTAACCAATTATAACTGTACTTATCACCATGTTAGGGCACCTAAGGGGCTTCTAAGTGGGTTATGAAGTACAAGTACAGTTATAATTGGTGAATAAGTACAATGAACCTCCAAGTAGGGTAGGAGCCCTAAACCCCAAACCCCAAACCCCAAACCCCAAACCCCAAACCCTAAAACCTAAACCCTAAACCCTAAACCCTAAACCCTAGGCCTGCTCTTGCACGGAGACGCTGCACATGTTCGTGTACGTCCTCAGCATGGCTTTGGGGAACGCCTCACTGAGCCTAAAGGTTTGGGTTTGTTTTGCAGGTTTAGGGTTTAGGGTTTAGGGTTTAGGGTTTAGGGTTTAGGGTTTAGGGTTTAGGGTTTAGGAGGGTTGTCAAGGGGATAATGCTAGCGTAACCCCCAGCCCACTATCCTAAAGCCCCAAAAGTTCTGAAGAATCCCAGCCAGCCCCCCCCAACCGCCTTTAAAAGTCGACTTTGGGTTTAGGGTTTAGGGTTTAGGGTTTAGGGTTTAGGGTTTAGGGTTTAGGGTTTAGGGTTTAGGGTTTAGGGTTTAGGGTTTAGGGTTTAGGGTTTAGGGTTTAGGGTTTAGGGTTTAGGGTTTAGGGTTTAGGGTTTATGTTTTAGGGTTTAGGGTTTAGGGTTTAGGGTTTAGGGTTTAGGGTTTAGGGTTTAGGGTTTAGGGTTTAGGGTTTAGGGTTTAGAGTTTAGGGTTTAGGGTTTAGGGTTTAGGGTTTAGGGTTTAGGGTTTAGGGTTTAGGGTTTAGGGTTTAGGGTTTAGGGTTTAGGGTTTAGGGTTTAGGGTTTAGGGTTAACACTTCTGAAGGCCCTGTAGGCTAGAACCCGGAACCCGTGGCTTCCTGCAGCTTGAACCATCAAACTCCCTGGATTTAGGGTTTTTGTTTAGGGTTTAGGGTTTAGGGTTTGGGGTTTAGGGTTCAGGGTTCAGGGTTCAGGGTTCAGGGTTCAGGGTTCAGGGTTCAGGGTTTAGGGTTTAGGGTTTAAGGTTTGGGGTTTAGGGTTTAGGGTTTTACCTTAGAATCTCAAGCCCTTTTTCTGGGGTAGGGGCCCCCTTACTTTACTAACCGATAAGGAAGGAATTAGAAACTAAAGGAACTAACTTATGATACCTATAAACCAATTTAGGACCCCTAGAGAACTCTACCCGTCGCTGGACGGGTGGGCTCCCGGTAAGGGTTTAGGGTTTAGGGTTTAGGATTTAGGGTTTAATTAGGATTTAGGGAAGAATCTTCTAGTACTAGCTTGCGACTCACCTAGAAGAAAGGGTCGGTCCATGCAGGATTAGTGTTCTTGAGCTAGGTTCGCAACAACAAGCAGAAGGGGTTTCGCGTCTAGGGTGTATAAGGGACCCTAGCCCCGATATACGAATTTCAAACCCTAAACCGCGCACCTTAATCTCTTCTTCCTGGTCACCGATCTTCCAGCGTTTACGTTTAGGGTTTAGGTTTCAGGATTTAGGGCTTAGGGTTTAGGGTTTAGGGCTTAGGGTTTCGGGTTAAGGGAAGTGCCCTCGAAGGGAACCCTAAACCCTAAGCACTAAACCGTTTAGCCAGGATAAGCCAGTGACGCCTTGAGCCCCAACCCGGCCCGCCCATATGAAGGGGTTTAGGGTTTAGGAGGTTGAGGGTAGCTCTAAACCCTGAAAAAGACGAAACCCCAAAGTGAGACATGAATGGTCAAGGCGCTCGAAGATCCGCAGGCACTTGGTTGCCTGCGGCAGGTGTCGTTCGGGAGTTCCTAGAGCTCAGGGGTTCAGGGCTTAAGATTTAAGGTTTGGGGCCCCTGGACCCTAAACCCTAAACCCTCAACAGTAAACACTAAACACTAAACCCTAAACCCTGAATCCTTGGGCCTTATGCTGGTGAAGGTTTCGTCGGATCCCGTACTTCGCCACTGCGAGGGTTTTGGGGCTTGCCGCCCATACTCAACGTGCCCAAATGACCCTGAATTCAGCCTGACTTGGGGCCTTGTTGTGGGTGGGGAGTACTTAGAAGCTCAGAGAACTTCCCATAGTAAGTAGCCTGAAACGCAGGTTGCCTGGGGACCAAATGAACGCTAGAATTGGGGTCATATGCTCCATGCTACAAAAATCCTGATTAAGGTATATGAACCATAAACCACTTCAGGGTTCATGATGGCCCCCGAGGTTATTCCATCTTCCAAGCTCTTTTCAACAACATTGAGCTAGCAGCGCTAAACCCTAAATCCCAAACCAAACCCTAAAACCTAAACCCTTCACAGGTATAGGGTTTAGGGTTTAGGGTTCAGGGTTTAGCCAGAGACACCTTTGCTGCTTTTGAACGCGTAAGGTTGGGATGTGTGGTTAAAGGGATGAGGGCATCGGAACTCCCTCAACCCTACAATCATTACCAGCCTCAGTCCACAAACCCTAAACCCTAAACCCTAAACCCTAAACCCTATACCATAAAGTTTGAGGAACTCCTAAGCCGACGGCAGGGGACCACCCCAACCTGAACCCGAACCCCGAGCACCTATACTTAGGGTTTCAGGGTTCAGGGTTTAGGGTTTAGGGTTTAGCGTGTAGGGTTTAGGGTTTAGGGTTTAGGGTTTAGGGTTTAGGGTGTAGGGTGTAGGGTGTAGGGTAACGCGAGGTGACCGGCAAAAGGCCCAGATGTCGGCGCGGCTGGTCTTGGCCGCATTGCGCCTGTGGGTCGCGAAGCTCCGTGCAGACTGAGTCTCCTCACATGCCGACGAACTTGCCTGTGACGCTGCTGAATATGGCCCGCAACAAGTACCAGGCATGGGAGTTGTCCCGACGAAGCCTCCCCGAACCGGGATGACCTCGTGCTGGGACATCACTCAACCCGACGAGCCTGTAGTCGCCGCCGTGGTAGATGGGTTTGTCGTCGTGTGTTTTTTTCTAAACCCTAAACCCTAAACCCTAACCCGAAACCCTAAACCCTAAACCCTAAACTGCGTGAGCCCAGGGCCGTCGAAGGGTTTGGGAGGTTAAGCCCTAAACCCCAAACCCTGCTAAAGCCAAAACCACCCTAAACCGGGGGTGGGGGGACTTCTTTCCCACAATGGCCTCTCAAAGCCTCGAATCTCTAAGCTTAACTGCTGGCTCTCAGTCGGGCAAGCAGCAATTAGGTACCGCCCTATAGAAACCGATTGAATGTGAAAGTAAGGTACCATTAAACTCTTTCATTCCCTAAGAACCTGAAGCCCTGAAAGTATTCAAGCGTCTAGATCCCAAGCTTTCTAAACCCTAAACCCTAAACCCTAACCCTAAACCCTAACCCTGAAACCCCTAAGGGACACCCTCAACATTCACCCCTACGGTCGCAGGTGTCCGCGCGCCATGGGCGAGTTGTAGAAGATGGGAATCTCATGCAGGTCCGAGTTCCTCTCCTCAGAGAGCATCTGTTTGGGGTTTAGGGTTTAGGGTTTAGGGTTTGGGGTTTAGGGTTTGGGGTTTAGGGTTTGGGATTTAGGCTCCATAGACTCCCTCCCAACCGTAAACCCTGCTCTTGAATCCCCTAAACCCCCAGAGCTGACACGTCTGGGAGCTGGGCCCAGTAGTCCTCCAAGATCAACAGAATCTCCTGATCCGGCGCAGGTTGCGAGGGTTTAGGGTTTAGGGTTTACGGTTTAGGGTTTGGGGTGCAGGTTGCGAGGGTTTTCTGGCAAGTTTGGGGCCCCTTCGTGAGGGGCTCTTGGATAGGGATTCCCTTCCAGAGTTGTGCATTAAGGGGTGACCGTCGGAAACCCCCATGTCGAAAAGGGCTGAGGGTTATACGGTTAGACACCAGGCTTTGGGGCTTGGCAGGGGATTTAGATGCTTGTCCGGCTTAAGGGTGCCGTTTGGAACAAGAGGACAACATGGGGCGTGCTCCATTCATGAACTGATGCTGGGCACAGCTGAGGATGAAACCCCTAACTCAGCCAGTAGACCCTAAACCCCAAAACACAGGCCGACACCCCAGGGGATCCCCTGCTTAGAAGCTCCTTGGGCTTAGTAAATCTACTTTGTATTTCCCAGATTCCTCGTTATAATCCCCATAACCCAGCTTAGAGCTTCAAGTAAACCCTAAACCCTCAACCCTAACCCTAAGCCCGAAGCCCGAAGCCCTAAACCATAAACCCTAAACCCTAAACCCTAAACCCTAAACCCTAAACCCTAAACCCTAACCCTAAACCCTAAACCCTAAACCCTAAACCAGAGCGGTGGTTTGCTCTTGGTCCCATACTGGCTGCTGTACAGGCTCCAAGTGGGGGCTTCCGAAAATAGGGGTCATTATTTGGGAGGTTCCTTAGTGAGGATGATGACTTTTGATTGCAGGCTTATGCAGGGTTTAGGGTTTAGGGTTTAGGGCTTAGGATTTAGGGTTTAGGGTCCCACCTGTGCGCGACCCAGCGCAAAGACGGGCAGCAAACACCTCAGGAGAGACATGGTTCTAAGACGCGCAAGCCCAAAAGACCCGACCAATGCAAACAATGCGTAAATTTGGGGTCTGAAGTCTGTAGGTAGCACTTACCTAGCATAGGGCCTCAAGCAGGAAGCCCTTAACTTAACCTAAGCCCTAAACCCTAAACCCTAAACCCTAAACCCTAAACCCTCAACCCTCAACCCTAAACCCTAAGCCCTAAACCCTAAAACCCAAACCTAAACCTAAGCTGGCGATCGTGGACGGCCAGGTCGCGAAGATTCTCAAGACCTTGAATAGCCTTGGGGACCATGTCAAGCGTTTGGGGTTTAGGATTTGCCAGAGTAGGGATTATAGTGGCATAGGGTATATGATCGATCCCGAAAGTCTTGGGACCATAAAAACTAAAACCTAAACCCTAAGCCCTAAACACAAAACCCTGCAATCCGACACCATACCTGGGACCCTATTTTACCTGCATTCAAGTAGTAAGTACCTCCCCCCCCCCCCCCATGTAGCAGGTATGACCCTTAAAACAGGTAAATAAGGTCCCAGGTAAGCTCAAAACACCACAGAACAACGCGCTAGAAGGCTGGAGGTTGAAATGGGAAGGGTTTGGTTGGGGTTTAGGGTTTGGGGTTCAGGGTTTGGGGTTCAGGGTTTGGGGTCCTAGGGTTTAGGGGTTGAATCTCTTGGGGATTATGTAGCTCGGGATTTAGGGTTTGGGGTTCTAGGATTCAGTCTTTGCTGGGGGAAGGGGGGGGGGGGTATTGTGTGTGATTCAGGGTTAAGCTTTCAACGGGAATTGAGGGATTAGGCTGCAGGAGACTGCATTTCAGGCCTTACACCTGGGAACCTCTCCACCTTGAACCCGAAACTTGAAGCCTGCACTCCTAGCTCCTAAACTCCTAGGGCTTGGGGTTTAGGGTTTGGTTTTTGGGGTTTACGGTTTAGGGTTTGGGGTTTAGAGTAAACCTGAAAACCTAAACCACCTCATGGATTTCCACCTTGAGGTTGTACATAAGTGCCACATCAGGAGTGTATTAAGGGAAACCTCTAGGGGTACAACCTTAGGGGTACGAGCCTTACTCCCTATGAAACCCTAAACTCTAAACCCCAAACCCTAAATCCTAAACCCTATAAACCCTACGGGGTCCGTAAAGCGCCAGGGCCCCCAGCTTTCCGCCCTGGCGCACGATCTGATGAACGGAGTTCGTGAAGCGGTGCTCCCGCTGCTCCTGCCAGCGCGCAGGGCTTGGGAACCCTAAACCCTCAACCCTGAAACCCTGAACCTGAAACTCTAAGCGAAGTTACATGGTCCCTTAGTATGGGCCCTTAAAACGGGGACCCCTTATATACCCATTATATACCCTATACGAATTAAGGCCCATACATCGGAAACCTTTAAGGGCGGTTAGGGACCATAGTAGGGGCCCATGAAACTACCCTCAGAGAACCCGAAAACTTAAACCTTAAACATCCCGAAGCCCTGAGCATCCCTCCTCCCAATATTTCCCCCAAAACGCCTGGGGGCCACTAAAACCCTATACCCCTAAACCCCAAAATGGCTTAGGGCTGAGGAGGGCCTGGGGGGTTCAATGCTTGGCGCAAGTAAACTTACTTCTCCAATAACCAAGGGGAAAAAAAGGTTAAACTTTAATGTTCCTACTAAATAAGGAAACCCAAAAAGTTTAAACTTCAACTAAAGGCGAAGTAAGTAAAGGGCTTAGGGTTCAGGGTTCAGGTTCTCTGGCGCTGTGGCTCAGGGGAGGGGCCCGGTGTCTCCGTGGGCAGAAACGACTCCGCGCCCGTTTGGAGATGGACCCACAGCTTGCACCAATAGGGGTTTAGGGTTTAGGGTTTTAGGGTTTAGGGTTTAGGGTTTAGGGTTTAGGGTTTAGGGTTTAGGGTTTAGGGTTTAGGGTTTAGGGTTTTCGGGTTTTAGGGTTTAGGGTTTAGGGTTTAGGGTTTAGGGTTTAGGGTTTAGGGTTGATCGAAGGCCTTCTGCCGCATGTCAGCCAGGTCTGCAATCAAGCCTGATTGAGCGGCCTGGGCCTTCATCTGTGGGGTTTAGGGCTTAGGGTTTAGGGTTTAGGGTTAAGGGTTTAGGGTGGGCAAAGAAGGGCCGCCGGCATCATTGACAGTGGGATCCCTTGCTGCACGGAAGTTGTCAGGGTCGAGGGGTTGCACCTCGCAGGGTTGCGGGTGTAGGAATTAGGGTTCACCTGCATCCCCCAAGTATATTTGGGGCATGAATCTTGTGCTTGTGGGGGGGGGGGGTACTTGAGGGGGTTTAGGTGGGGTTGAGGTTTGAGGGTTTTGAGGGTCTCATTAGGGTTTAGGGTTAGGTCTTGCTCGATCAGGCTCGCCACTGTTGGTCGCCGTGTCAGGTTTGTCGCTCAGATGCGGAAATGATGGTTTAATTAGGGTTCCTTAGTTTAGGGTTCAGGGTTCAGGGTTTCGGGATTTGGGTTTAGAGTTTAGGGCAGTAACCCCCCCCCCCCCTCTTTAACCTGGGGGGGTAGAAAGAGGGGCGTAGCAGGGAACCCCCGTGACTAGAGAACCCCACCCCCCAACTACCCTCATTCAAGGTTTACGGATCCAGGGCTCTTGGTTGTAGGTACTTGTACGGCTTAATGCTGGGTAGTTGGAGGATGATGCACCCAAACCCTGACCCTAAACCAACCTAAACACCCACCCCTTAAGTGCTTCACAAAAGCAAAAGGTGTCCCGAGGCTCGTGGTTCATCACTCCATACGTGGACCTGGGACGCAGGTGCCTACTTGGAAGCTCGTGGGGATTAAGGTTTCGGGTTTAGGCTAGTGTTTAGGGTTTAGTAAGGTGGGTTATGGGGATGATTATAGGGTTTCAGGGTTTCTAGGGGAGACTTGTAGCTAAAGATTCAATAACATGAACGCTTTCTTTCGGGTTTAGGGTTTAGGGTTTAGGGTTTAGGGTTTAGGGTTTAGGGTTTAGGGTTTAGGGTTTAGGGTTTAGGGTTTAGGGTTTAGGGTTTAGGGTTTAGGCATTTCGCAGTTCGGGGTTTAGAGTTTAGGGTGTAGGGAACTTCTACCCCTCAAGGGGTCCATCTGCATGCACACTTGGACCGCAATTAGCACGGAAAGATGTGGCCCAAGTGCACCCCCCCAAAACCTAAACCCTAAACCCTAAACCCTAAAGCCTAATTAAGCCTGTACCCTAAACCTCAAACCCCAAAACCCTAGACCAGAAGCTGGGGTGGCGGCTCGACGATCAGCACGTGGATCCGGACACTGGGTATCTCCGCCTTGTGAAGGAGATGAGGGCTTAGGGCTTAGAAGGCAGGAGGCTTAGGGCTTAGGGCTTAATTAGGGCTTGGGGCTTAGGGCTTAGGGCTTAGGGTTTAGGGTTTAGGGTTTAGGATTGTAAGGCTCCAAGGACTCTTATTTTAGGGTTTCGGGCCCAAAGGCCTTATTATACGCGGTTTTGGGCTAGTTTGAGTCTAAAGGTTAGGGTTTTAGGGTTCGTGTTCAGGGTTTAAGGGAGAAAGGCCCGGGGAGTACTTAGGGTTTAGGGCTTGGGTTGTTGTTGAGGCCTTTAGAGCGCCGGAGTGCGAGATTACGGAAGTTTTAGTTTCACGACTTTGGCAACCGTATATTGCGAAAAGACCATATGAGCGGCAGCGAAAACTTCGCATTGCTTAAGAACCCCCAAAAATCTTCCGTAGAAGGGCAATATAGGGATTTTCATTTTATTTTTTAGGGGGATCTTAAGCAAATGGTAGAAAAACTCATTGCTCACTGAACGTTGCGTAAGATGCTGGGAGGGCCCCGATCGATCTTCGGGACGAAGCCTTCGAGCACACTTGCGCCCTAAACCCTAAACCCTAAACCCTAAACCCTAAACCCTAAACCCTAAACCCTAAACCCTAAACCCTAAACCCTAAACCCTAAACCCTAAACCCTAAACCCTAAACCCTAAACCTAACCCTAGACAGGGGGAAGGGGAGGGGGTAGGGAAAAAAGGGGCGTAGGTGGTGTGGGGCGGGCCTTGAAAGGGCTCAGAGGGGGCAAGTTGGGGGAGTGGGGATTCAGGGGTTTAGGCGGGGTGAGGGTTTAGGGTTTAGGGTTTAGGGTTTAGGGTGTAGCATTGTTCAGCTGTACGCACTTGTGTGCAGACATGCCCACCCCAAGACCACCCAAACACTACTCAAAACGAACCAAACCAGAGCCAGCCAAACCAAAGCCAGCCCACATCCAAACACTTCTGCACTCAGGCTTGTTGCTATAAACACGCCTTGTGAAAGTCATGTTTAGAAGCTTGCGAGAACCAAATGAACGTTTGCGTTGGGGGGTGTCTTCGGCCGGAGGGCCTTCTCATCGTTTCTATTCTCGACGTCGGGATATCATGGTGTTACAGGAAACAGGCTTTGTGAAAGTCATGTCTAGAAGCTCACCAGAGCCAAATCAGCGTTTGCGTTGGGGGGTGTCTTCGGCCGGAGGGCCTTCTCATTGTTTCTATTCTCGACGTCGGGGTGTCACGGCGTTGATATGAACAGGCCTTGTGAGAGTCATGTCTAGAAGCTCACCAGAGCCAAATCAGCGTTTGCGTTGGGGGTTGTCTTCGGCCGGAGGGCCTTCTCATTGTTTTTTCTTCTCTATGACCCTTTGCTAAACAGGTCCAGAAGCTTGCGAGAGCCAAATCGGCGTTTGCGTTGGGGGGTGTCTTCGGCCGGAGGGCCTTCTCATTGTTTTTCACGCGAAGCGTCTTTCCCAAGACCTCGCTGCGTTTTAGGGGCCTTCCAGGGCCTGGCCTGGCCTTGGCGGGGGGGGGGGGGGGTGGGGGGGGGGGGGGGGGGGGGGTGGGGGGGGGGGTGGTGGGGGGGGGGTGGGGGGGGGGTGGGGTGGGGGGGTGGGGGGGGGGTGGGGTGGGGGCGGGGTGGGGGGGTGGGGGGGTGGGGGGGGGGTGGGGGGGGGGGGGGTCGGGGGGGGGGGGGGGTGGGGGTGGGGGGTGCTCTCTCCAGGGGGGCCGCCAGGCCAGGGTTGGG